CATATAAAGTTGATAGTAAAACCAAACGACCAATACATGTTCTTACTCCACAGATTTCCATTGTCGACGCTCTAGCTGACATTCATCGGGCACTCGTCAAACGATAAAACCAAGTACTTGACTCAGATTAATTGCCTAGAGTTGAGTATTTGCGATTGTGACTGCCGGCCACGTTAGGCACAAAAAGTCTACCTAGACGTCACGTAAGGTAGTTGCTGGCTTCACATCATGGATACTAGATAGTAACACAAGAGTTGAGTTATCGGAAGGTGGGTGGCAATCCGCTTGTTTCGAAAATGCTAGAAAAGCAACCTCGGGGAAGAGGCTTATGAGTAATGTGATGAACTGCCTGCATACATCTCACTTGAATAGAAGGAGTACATGAATGAGTGTTATCATTACCAACAGCACGTTCGGGTCTCGAGCTCTATCAATCAATCCGAAGATGCCGTTGAGTCAGAAGCCAGTCCTGGAGTGTCGCTCGCCGAAGCCGCCGAAGCCGGATTGATACCCGAACCCGAGGATTCCACAGTTGCCGACGGGATTGTGGGGTCCGGCGCCGAAGGTGGTGTTTTTGAAGAATGTATGTACGGATATAAGATGTGACAACACCGCAGAGGTTACCGCAAGAGGTATTAAGATAGTCTTTGCTTAGCATTTCTTTTTCTTGAGAAGAGCATGCGGGAGTGAGATCTCTTCAGTTTATCTGAAGCACCTAGCCCGGATGTACCTTATGTAGCATTGTCACACTCACACCGAATTCATGGGATGAGATGTGCCTTGCATTGCCCATCGATCCTCTACGATCCTCCAAGACCAATTGCCGGCACTTTCATGTCTGACGGAGAAAAAAAAAGGAGTGGGTGAGTGAACGAGTGGGCAGAATCGGCAAGTTTGGGGAAAAGCCGTGAGAGGCCGGGCGGCATGCCGTGGCCCCGCAGCGAACCCCGGCGCCAGTGCCCACCGCTTGTTCTCCGGTCCAAGTGCAACCTTCCCGAAGAGGAATGCACCTGTGCAAGCTCGTCTTGGCCTTCACTTGGCTTTCATCGCGTCAATTTCTTTTCTTCCACACACACACACACGCGCGCGCAGACAGTCACACATAATAGTACACTGACGCTCGCCATTACCACTATTACAAACGCCAATGACCCCCGCTTCTCCATGTCGTCAATATCCAGACTTAATCACGCCGTCAACCCAACTTTGGCAGGTCCATAATGATCCCCCCGGCTCTCCCCGTTCGAAAACTCCGTTCAATAGACCACTATGAGCACAGCAGCCAGTCAACATGGCCGTCGAGACCAACAGTCGGCAAGAAATCTGGAGAAAGCAGCGGGCCCGACTCGTTGATAACTTGACAACTTTGACCGCGATCCATGTCGCTCTCTTGGCATCCGAGCACAGCATCCAACAATGCCGCCAACGATGGACCATTGCACCGTCACTCGGTGATCTCTCGCCTGCACTGCAGTGGAACACGGCCCACTGCGACGCGCACCTGCATGGCTATCGACGCATGCTTTGGTTCAATGGCACCGCACGGCAAGCTGGTATAAAGTAGCGGTTGCCTCTCCAGGTTCCTACTACGCGGCCTTTCTCGCCTCTGTTGCTCGCCTTGCCCTGCATACCCATTCTTGGATACCAGAGAAATCGGGACACCGGATACTCATCATGGCCCGCCAATTTCTCAAGGTCGTTGCCGCTGCGGCCCTCATCTTCGGCGCATCGGCCATTGAACGCGAACCGCACCAGCCCACCGGAGGCGGCGATCGCATTGTCACTTGGAACGAGACGGTCGCTTCCCCCCGATTTGGCGCCAGCTCGCGATCCGTCAGCTGGCTCTCGGGCGTTGAAGATGGCCGCTTCATCTATCTTTCCAACAATGCACTCGTGATCGAGGATATCGTCACCGGCGCAAACGAGACGTTTGTGCCCGCAGACAAGATCCCTGCCGATTACGCCGAGTACTGGATCCGACCGGATCTGAAAAAGGTCCTCTTTGCCACCAACTACACCAAGCAGTACCGCTACTCGTACTTTGCCGACTACTCCATTCTTGACGTCGAATCTGGCGTTGTTGAGCCGCTCGTGGATGACCAAGCTGGAGACATTCAATATGCCGAGTTTGCGCCCGTGGGAGATGCAATTGTGAGTACTCCTGACCAGCACCACACAATCCAGCTACCCCCGGATGCAGCTAACACTGACCACTAAGGCCTTCGTTCGCGGTAACAACCTCTTCCTGAGCAAGAACGGAACCATTTCCCAAGTAACCAACGACGGCGGACCGGATCTATTCCACGGTGTTCCCGACTGGGTCTACGAAGAAGAAATCTTTGGCAGCAGAAGCACCTTCTGGTTCTCCCCCGATGGAGAGTACATTGCCTACCTCAGCTTCAACGAAACGGGTGTTGAGACCTTCACCATCCCCTACTTCATGGGCGGCGAGAAGATTGCACCCCCGTATCCTGTCGAGTTGGACCTGCGTTACCCCAAGGTCGGCAGCAAGAACCCAACCGTGGCACTAACGCTGCTGGATGTCGAGACTGAGGAGGCCAACCCCGTTGAGATTGATGCATTCCCCGCCGACGACCTAGTTGTTGGTGAGGTCAAGTGGTTGACCGCCAATCATGCCAGCTTCGCCTACCGAGCCTTCAACCGTGTCCAGGACCTGGAGAAGCTCGTCCGCGTCGATGTCGAGGGCTATGCTTCCGAGGTCATTCGAGAGCGCGATGGTTCCGATGGATGGCTGGACAACAACCAGGGCATTGAGTACATTGGTCCCCTGCAGAACGCTACGAGAAACTCCACCGACGCCTACTTCTTGGACCTGTCCGACGAGTCTGGTTGGAACCACATCTACCTCTACTCGGTCAATGGCGGCAGCCCTATTGCTCTGACCAGTGGCGAGTGGGAAGTAACCTCGGTACTCAAGGTCGACACTGAGCGTCATCTCGTCTACTACCTGTCCACTGAGCACCACAGCACCGAGAGGCATCTCTACTCCGTCTCCTACCCTTCCGGCGTCAAGACGGCCCTCGTCGACGACACTGTCGCGGGATATTGGAGCGCCTCGTTCTCGTCCTCGGCCGGATACTACATCCTGTCCTACCAGGGTCCCAACGTCCCCTACCAGGAACTCTACGCCACCAACTCAACCACACCGGTCCGCACCATCACCAGCAACGAGGCTCTCGTCACTCGCCTCCAAGAATACAAGCTCCCCAACATCACCTACTTCGAGCTTGCCCACCCCGACGGCTACACCCTCAACGTGATGCAGCGCCTCCCCGCCAACTTTGACCCATCCAAGAAGTATCCCGCCCTCTTCACCCCCTACGGCGGCCCCGGCGCACAAGAAGTCACAAAGCGCTACCAGTCCATCACCTGGCGCGCCTTCATCGCCTCCGACCCGGAACTCGAGTACATCACCTATACGGTAGACAACCGCGGCACAGGCTACAAAGGCCGCGCCTTCCGCTCCACCGTGGCCGGCCACCTCGGCCGCCTGGAGCCCCTCGACCAGATCTGGGCCGCCGAGCAACTCTCCTCGCAAAACGCCTTTGTCGACGCCGCAAAGATTGGCATCTTTGGCTGGTCGTACGGCGGATACCTCTCCGCCAAGGTTCTCGAAGCCAACTCGGGCGTCTTCTCATCCGGCCTCATCGTCGCGCCCGTCAGCGACTGGCGCTTCTACGACTCGCTGTACACGGAGCGCTACATGAAGACGCTCGATGCCAATGAGGAGGGGTACAACGAGACGGCCGTCCGCAATCCCGAGGGGTTCAAGAATCTGGCGGGCGAGTTTACCATCCTCCACGGCACGGGCGACGATAACGTGCACTACCAGAACGCTGCAGCGCTCATCGATCTGCTCGTCGGTGCCGGGGTGCCCGTGTCCAAGATGAAATGGCTGAGCTTCACGGATAGCGACCACAGTATCGCGTACAACGGTGCCAATATTTGGTTGTACAAGTATCTGACGGAGGCGCTGTTCAGGGAGAAGAGACGGTCTGGAGACCCGCTGGTTCACCAGTGGAGTAAGAAGAGCTTGCCCGAGACATTTGACTTTGAGAGATCTTAGGGGCGTGGTTTCGTCTTCGATGTAGATATTGTAGTATCCTTTTCGAGAAGAATTAATGTGTCATACCTGTCCAGATTAGTCTGTACCGTGTGCAAACGCAATACTGTTCCCTCTGGCTCATTAAACGCCGGCCAGTGATTGAAGGTGCAGGCGGTTATTATGTTGTCAAATAAAAACAGGATACCAACTAGAGGGACGAGAATAAAAAGTCCTGGAGTTCTGATCTAGTCTGATCTCATGTACGACAAGAGCAGTACAACATGCTCTCGGTGTGGTCTGTCATAGATTTAGAGTGTATTCGCACCACTTTTTAAACTACTTCACTTACGTGATGGTGCGTTTTACGGAATTGAAGGCGCAAAGTCAAAGAGTTGAGTAATCTGAAAATACGAAAGAAACCACTACTCGGAGCTTGCGCTTGCTTTCAAGGTTACTCGTCTTGCTCTGGCAAACATGAGTTACCGAAGCGCTTCCTCTCTGAGCTCTCGGAAAGCAACAATGTCTTTGCAAATCGAGCCTTAATCTTGTCATAGCCCTCAACCCATGGCGACAGATATAGGCCATTGTTGTATTTAAATAAGTCACGATTGTAAGTAGCATGGGTTTGAACGAACTTGGCATCGAAAAAGAAGGAGGCTTGCTGTGATTATAGACGTTCTCAGAGCTCCGCAAGGCGAGTGAAGGCAACGGCCCCACCTTTCCACCCTCACCTGCCACGCTCGGTGAGGCCAAATTCCGGCTCGGAAAAACACCAGCTTCCAGCTACCTGTCTCCCCCAGAGCCCGCCTTCACTTTTCATCATCCACCACCCAAACCGCCCTGGCCCGCGATCGCGACAAGCTACTCCCCTCCACCCATCTCGACCTAAATCCCCACGACAGCTCGCCCTCGACTCTCCCAAACAACCACAATCATGACGTCCACAATTGGCATTCCCATCAAGCTCCTCAACGAGGCACAGGTGCCTACAACCTCGCCCCCTCATAAAGACCACGCCAGAAAGCTAACCATTCGCGCGCGCAGGGCCACATCGTCACCCTCGAAATCACATCAGGTCAAACCTACCGCGGCAAGCTCCTCGAAGGTACCCCCTCCCTCCACCCTGCCATCCCCTAACTCAGTCACAGAGAGCAGCCCGCTAACATCTCACCTCTCCCCAACAGCCGAAGACAACATGAACGTCCAGCTCAAAGACATCACCGTCACCGCCCGCGACGGCCGCGTCTCCCACCTCGACCAGGTCTACATCCGCGGCTCCCACGTCCGCTTCTTCATCGTCCCAGACATGCTGCGCAACGCGCCCATGTTCCGCTCCCGCAACGTCCGCGGCCGCGGTGTCGGTATGGCGCGTGGTCGCGCGACCGTGAGCAGGGCGAGGGCCAGCGGGCGCGGAGGACGCTAGGATCGGAATCCGCATTCGCAGGATGCCTCTTCGACTCGGCCTTGAAGAAACATAGACCGCCCGCGATATGGACTTTTGCGCGTGGGAGAGAGAGTGGAAGAGAGCAAGAAGACACCAAAGGGGAAGACTTTCGAGACGAGGCACAGCGCGCATTTTTCCTTTCATGACGGACGCTACTCTTCCGTCTTTTGAAGAGCCGGAGGAAAGGTCGGGTGAGGGGACTTTGGATTCTCACTCCAGGGGAACCCGGAGGCTGTTCAGCATCGTACTTCGGGGACAAAAAAGTTCCAGGCGTTTTAAAGGGGTTTTGAATGTTTCACGGGGGAAAGTCCCCGAGTATTGCAAAGGCGGATACCAGCCGAGGGAGGGCAAGGGAATCATATGAAACAGTGCGAGGCACGATACTTGAGGCCTGATTTCTCCCCGAGGAGAACAATACCCGGGCAGTCTGAGGATGTCACTGGTCGGCCAGCATGGGGGAAATGACGGTCGCTAGGGTAGGCCTCACTCTTTCTATAATCTTGAAGAGCCAGCCGTCATCCAACCCTCAGCTGACACAGAAAGCTAGGTGTCACAGCCAAAGATACCGCAGCAATAGAATGCAAACGCCCCTCTCGGCGCCCAATTTCTCGTGTCTTTTTGTCTGGTATCGGAACTTCGTGCGTGCATGTGCATGTCTATCATGGACATTGTGTTTATACATTATACAGATGATGATACAAACGTCGTGACATGCAATCCCCTCCCTCTTGCTCATATCACTTCTACTTCAACCGCTCAAGCGCATCCTCGGCCTTCTCAACAAGCTCCTTGGCCCTGCGAAGCTCCTCCGCGCCCTCAACAGCAGCCCCTTCCCTTGACCCATCAAGCGTATCCGCAACGCTCTGCTCGACACCCCGTACCGCCTTGCGCCCTTCCTCCCGCACCTCGCCCTCCCAGTACGTCCGCGCCGTCTCCCACTTGGTCTGCAACCTGCGCAGGCTCCACATCACGCCCAGCGCCGCGACGGCGCCGGCCTCGTAGATGGAGGAAGCGTACTGCGATACGTAAAGCAGACCCGCAAGCGCCGTCGTCAGGGCCGAGGTGCTCGAGGCCTGGAGGACGAGCTTCTGCGCGAGGGCCTGTAGTGCGGGAACGGTTTCTTCGTGGAGGTAGCGGCGCGTGAAGGCGATGTGCGTCGGCCATTTGGGCTTCTGCGTCACGGCCTTGGCGACGGTGCTGCTCTCGGGCAGGGATTTCTGAAGTTCGGATGTCGGCTGCGCGTACACCGGTGGTTCAGTGGTGGTCGAAGCGACGCCGGACTCGGCGATGCGGCCGGCTAGGTACACCAGCTCCCTCTCTGCGCCGGGGAGGAAGCGCTGGCTGAGCATGTCGGTCGTGAGGACGCCCACGTCGTCGACTCGCCAGAAGAGCTTCCACCAGCCCAGCTTGCGCCATCTCGTGCCCGCGAACGCGAGGTCGAGCTGCTGCTGGAGCTCCTCGTGCGCGAACTGGGACCACTGCGCCAGTCTCTCGTTCATGACGGTTAGCCCGGATGACGCGGCCTCCGTGGACAGGCGTCCTGAAAGTAAGCGCGATTCCTCGGCTTCAATCTCTGCGAGGGCGTTGCGGAGTAGTGAGGCGACCAGGAGACGAACTGCGGGCTTGGTAGCCGGGCCCTCGTCCGTCTGCACGCCTGTCTTGAGCCATTGAATAAGGACAGGCACATTACTCTTGTACCATGCCCTCTCATACTCCATAGCATTGGCAATATTCTGGCGAATAAGATCAAGTCCCTCGCTGCCCACCGACACATCAATCGGCTGGAACGTGACGCCCGCCTCCTTCTCCACAGAATACTCTGGCAAGTTGACAGCACCAAAGACGGTATCACGATGCTCGGCCAACGGCAGAGCCGCAACTGAAGCAGCGCCCATAACGCCCCCAGAAACAACCAAAGCCTTGTGCACTGGCGTCGTAATAGGCGTGTACCGCCCCGTGTTGGACGGGATATCCACCGTCGGCACAAGAACAGCCTCCTCAACATCCTGCACCGCCTTCTCGCCCGGTCCCGGGACAGAACTAAAGGGGTTCACCTCCATAAGCAAAAGCTCAATCCCGTGTCCATTCAACGCAGGCGACGACACATCGAGCTCGTGCAGCAGATTCGTCTTTGATATCGTCACGCGCGGCGCGGCCTCCGCGGCGTTATGCTCCTGCCCGATGCGCACCACGAGCGGGTGCGACGGGTCATGCTGCGCTAATTCCCTTTCCCACTCCGCCTCGTCGCCCAGGGGATCCGCGAGAAGTAATCGGAGAAGGTCCTTTGCCGCCTTGCCCTGCTCCGCGCTGCCGTTGGCGAGGGAGAGGATTGCGATGCGGATCGACTCCTGGCCTGGATCCTGGCGCAGACCCTGGAGCGCGAGCTGTAGGCGGGAAAGGTTCACATGGTTGACGGCATGTTTTTGGAGCTCTAGTAGGGTGTCGATGAGTTCTTGCCTCGGGTTCTCGGGTGCGATGGTCTCTTGTGGCGGTAGTGATGCTGTCGACTCGGTGGACTGGAAGCGGCGTTGTCTCAATGCCTTTCTTGCTTGATTGCGGCTGTTGGTGGTGGCATTGGTTCTCGTCGTAGGTCGCGAGGGTGCGGAAAGCGAGCAGAACAGGCATACTGCGCGCGAAGGGATCGCGGTGTTCTGCTTTGCGGCCGTCAGGGAAGAGGCGGCGCGGCCTGCGATTGGCCTCAATGGGATTCGTGGAGGCATCGTAGAGGGGCTGCAAGAGAGGAGGGGAGTGTGTGTCCCGTCTCTTGCTTTCCTGGGTACGACGGAACGAAAGGAGTGAACCGTCGAGAATTGGATTCGTGGTTGAATGATGTCGGCTGGGCAGACGGGTGGACAGAGCTCCCAAAAAATGCTCGGTGAACCCGACCCAAGCTCCGATCCATGTACAGCCGTCGGGCTAAACTTCGGAGAACCACTGGAGCAGGGAAGTCTCCCCCCACCCCCGCCAATCTGCCACCACTATGACCACCACTAACCGACCCGGAGGTCCCAACTGTTCACTTCCGTGCTGTGTAAGTCACCGGAGATATCAACCCGACAACCATCTTGATCCCTGGCCTTCCCTCGATCATTGCCTACAAACCTCGCATCTCTCCCCATCCTTCTTCAGCTCTCCGCGACTCTAAACCTCTCGATCCGAGTCAACCCGAGACACGCAACACTGCGCCAGCCATGGCCCAATCCACCGCCCACCGCCGGCTCCTCCAAGAGTACCGCGCCCTGACAAACAACCCCCCAGAAGGCATCACCGCCGGCCCCGTATCCGAAGATGACCTCCTTCACTGGGAGGCCCTGATCCAAGGCCCCGAGGGAACACCCTTCGAAGGCGGCGTCTTCCCCGCCGAGCTCAAGTTCCCCAAGGACTACCCTCTCGCCCCACCGACCATGAAGTTCCTCGTCGACATGTGGCATCCGAATAGTACAGTCTCCTATTGCGCACCCCTGATATGGACCTGATAGAAAAGTGAAAGGCATTGCTAACCACAAACCTAGTCTACCCAAGCGGCTTAGTCTGCATCTCCATCCTCCACCCCCCAGGCGACGACCCAAACCACTACGAACACGCCTCGGAGCGCTGGTCCCCGATCCAGTCGGTCGAGAAGATCCTCATCTCCGTCATGAGCATGCTCGCCGAGCCAAACGACGAGAGCCCCGCCAACGTCGAGGCTGCAAAGATGTGGCGCGAGCGGAGGACGGAGTACGAGCAAAAGGTTCGCGACGGCGTCCGGCGGTCGCTGGGTCTGTGATGTGGCAGGCCTTCCTTCTGGCGATAACACATAAATACCTTATCCATAGAGTACCACTCGGCGGACTACTTTAGTAGAGAGAGAGATTTGAAGGATCAACGTAGGCAGACATAAGAGGGTGCGGTCGACACTACAAGCATAGCACGGCGTTTGGGGAATCAATCAAACATGGCTTCGAATATTCACTTCCTTCGTCAATGCTTGCTTGCCCGCTTGCATTCGGGATAAATGCCCCCAGCTTTCCTGCCGTGCTTGCAGTACTAAATCCGCTCCTTCACACGTCTAAGCCCTCTCTTCCATGCAGCCCCTAAAGTATTTACAATCCGTTCTCGGACTTGAACTTATCCCAACTCTCATTCAACGTCGCAAAGACCGTAGCAGCGATAAGTCTCACCTCCGTGCTAGCGTCTTGTGGAAGCTACACATTGTTAGCGCAGGCCCATAGTCACCAAGTAAATCAAAAATAACGTACCTTATCGGGATGACACTTAGCAATGGCCTTCATGTAGTGAATTTTCACCTTGTTGGCCATGACAAGCTCGTGCAGCCCAACCTTCTTCCATCCGCTGTTTTCCCAGAGAACCGAGTCCAAGCTACCGATGAGAGCACGCAGGTTATCTCTCTTCCCATCTCTCCATGCCGCAATCTTGGCGTCAACCTTCTCCGACAGCGCAAACTTCTCATCGTCTTCTTGCGCCGCTGCTTGATTCTGCTTGCGCAAGCGCTCCACGGCTTCCATGTTCTTAGCAGAAGCTGCTACAGGGCGTGATCGAGCAGGAGCAGTAGCGGCCGGTCTAGGCTTAGGCTTGGGCTTGGGAGCCAGGGCTGACTGGCATCTTTGTCGGCCAGAGATAGCGGTAGGACCGCCGACGCCGTTCTTCACGCAGGTTGACCAGACGGCGTGGGCATCGCCCCATCGCTCCATCTGTTCGAGGGCCTCGGCCTTGCGGCTCAATGCCTTGCCGTACAGATCCCGCATATCGCGATTCTCCTGGGTGCCGGTGTCGCCCACAACAGGCACCTGCTCGCCTTGACCTCCACCAGGTCCAATGATCTTGAGTGCAGCATCAGCGTCTTCAACAGCACGCTTGGGTTCGCCGTTCTTCAACGATGTCAACGCGCGGTTTGTGAGGATAACAATCGCAAGAGGATGCGAAGATGGCACGGCAGATAGTGATGACGTATAAGATGAATGAGCTGCGCCGTAATCTCCTCTCTTGAAGTGAGCAGTTCCATCGAGACGGTGTTTTGTTGACTGTTGTACCGCCGCAGGTGTAATGGGTGGGATTTGACGAGCGGGACGAGGGGCTGGCTTGGGAGATGGAGGTCTCGCAGGCCGCGAGGCTTGAGAGGGCTGGACGGGTCGTGATGGCTGCGATGATTGAGCCGGGCGATGAGGGAGTGACTGCGAAGGCTTTGGAGCTTGCGAACCAAAAAGCAGGTCCGGGTCCTCCTGCTGGGACGCAGGCGCTTCCGGCTGAGGTGTCGCCTTCTTCCTCCTAGCAGGGCTGACATACGAAGCCGCGTTGTCGTCCGCCATTGCCAGCTTGCTTGCGCGACTTCTTGAATCCGGTATTGCTGGGCCGCTCTGCTGCTGCCATCTGGGTACCGGAGTGCCTCTGCCGCTTGACGGGGCCGATACCGCAGGAGACTGGTCTCTTGGGGATGCTGTCCGGCGAGGGGCCTCTGGTCTCGAAGACTGCGACGATTGCCCGGCTTTTCTTTGCGGTCGACCGCCAGACTCTAGCATCATAGCCTCGTCTGTAGCCTCGGCCACCCGCCGCTCAGGCTGAGCACGATCAGCTTGTGCTGAGCGCATCCATTTCGGCTGGCTGGGGTCGCCCTCCGATTGGTTGAAGTCTGCCACTGCAGCCGCCACCTGCTTCTTGCTAGTCTTCCAGAGAGAGTTGGCTGTTTTGAAAAGGCTATTTCCCATAGCCGCCGCAGTCTTTGAGAAGTCAGCTTCACCGGCAGGGGATCTGGTATCAGCCCGTCTTTGACTATCCTGTCTGCCACCATCATCTCGTCCTCTCCTTGAAGCAGCGGCTGGATCCTTTCCTTGAGCCTTCGCCTTGGCTTGTCGGTGAGCATCGTCCAAAAGCCAGTTGGCGGCTGCTTGCACATTCAACCCCGCACCACTCTCTGTCAGACCCCTTCGAGCGTTTTCAGGGGTGAAGCCGTAATCGACAAGCTGCGCGACAGCCTTGTCAAATTCGGCCATCTCGCCCCCGGGAGCTGGCTGCCGTTCATCATCTGAGCTGGAGTCAGATGCCTCAATGGGTTTTCCGGGCTCAGGCCCCTTGGGCTGTGGGGTGGGTTGCTTGCGCCGAACTTCTTCGACCGGACGGGCTAGGTCTCCGAGGAAGTCGTCATCATCATCGTTCGTCGGAGGGGGTGCTGGAGATGCGGCCTTGGGCTTCAGCTGGTTCAGACCAAACGGATCGTCGTCGTCCCCAAAGCCGCCATTGGCAGGGACAGGCGCCTGATTCCATGCGGTTGGGTTGCTGAGGTCCAAGCCAGAGGCGATCGCAGGCGAGAGGCTCTTCTGAGGAGGCGGAGGGTAGTGGCTAGCATTGTCGACCTTGGTCTCAGAGTTGAACGCCGCGAAGAGGTCGTCATCATCACTGGCCTTCTTGCCCGTAGAAGAGCCAGGGGACAGTATGCCAGGGGACGTCGTCCTCGATACTGAGCCCGATCCCAGCGTATCCAAGAAACCACCGCCAAATTGCGCCTGCGCTTGTTTCTTCCTCTCCTCCTCCTTCTTCCTCTTCTCAGCCTCGAGTCGCTGCTGCTGTTCCAGCAAGGTGAGTTTCGATGTCGGTTTCGCAGCCCCGGCACCACCAAAGCTCATCAAGTTGCTGAAACTATCGGCTGGCGGCTTCGCGGGTGGAGGTTTCGCAGCCACGGCTCCTGATCCTTGGGCGGACAGAGGCGTGTTACGGCCAGAGGGAAAGGGGGATGGCGTTGAGTTGGCCGGTCGCATGGAGCCGAAGTAGTTGGCGCCCGAGGGGTTCATCGGCGGCGGCTTGTTGTTCGTCGTGTTGGTCGACGACGACCAATTCAATCCCGAGAGATCATCCATCGTTAAAACTTGGTGAAAGTCAAGGTGTAAACTTCATTTCATGAGCTTCGTGAGGTCGTGAGGGCATCGAAGGTGGCTCAATGCATCGTTTTCGGCTGCTTGTTGACTTTCGAATGCCACTTGTTCCTGCATCGGGCTTCGTTGATTGCGTGCGGTTGTCGTGTGCACGTAAGGTGGCATGTGGGACAGGTGTGGCTGAAGCTGAGGTCGATTTGGCTAGTGACTGCCGACTGCGCCACATGGGGCGGAGTGAGGAGACACATCGGCGTTAAGAGTTAGGTGCCATTCAGAGTGCACGACCCAGCAGATTAGATTTCACGGGTGGCGCCGAAAGCGAAGATAGGGGTAAACAAATGTGCCGCGTTTGGGATGATCGCTGCTGTCACTTTGAGATTGTGGCATAAACCCAATTGCTACTTACTAAGTTACTGCTCACTCCGTCCGCCCATTTCGATGAGCTCCTTGGCCTTGGCCAAAGTCACAAGCTTCGGCTGCATGAAATGAACTCCACACAGCTTCGGAACCCAAGCCACATCGAACACTGCGCCGAATTCCAGTTGCTGGCGAATTCCAGCAAGCTATTGTTTGCACATTCCTGCGAGTCGCATCTCGAACTCCCCGGGATCAACATGCCTCGGGCGAAGTTCAGCTGGCAAGTGATGGTGGCCGTGTTTCCGACACTCTTCATTCCCGGCTCTGTCTTCTGTGGTTCATATCCCCAGCTTCCAAATGACGTTCTAGCAAGTCTACCACTAGCACCAGGTCTACGGCTTCATCAACTACCGCGATATTTGCTGAGAAACGGAGCCCCGGGTCGGATTAACCCCATTGACAAGTACGTCATTACCTCTGGGATGAATAGCGAGAGTCATGGTCAAGGGATAGGAGCGCATCTCAATCACTTCGAAACCCCCGGCTGACGGGTCTACTACCGCGGCTGTTCGGCCGATAGTCCCGCCCAATATGTGGGTCTTGAGTAGGATTCGGGTCCCTGAGATTTGTGCCCCTGATTGTTCGGATGGAAATCACTGTCTTACGTGTCGTCGATTTGCTGATGGCTCCATCCCATTGTCTCTTGATTCCTGAGGAGCTGGGAGCACAGGAAGGAAGCATTCCTTCACTGGAACGAGCCATGAGAAACTTTGCGGGGTATGTCTTTTTCTAGGGTCATGAAAGGGCAGACGTGACTTGTTGGACGATCTAATGGTCGGTCCGAACAGCGAATAGAGGCAAACGACAGGAACAAAGATATGGATAGTGTGGCATACGGAGTGAGGTCCGCACCAGAGGACCACAGTTCATGTCTCCAAGCTTATGCGTTTCCGAATTGCAAGCATCATTGAGTTGCTTGCCTACGTAGTATGGTTGTTCTCTGGTCAATCCGTGGATGCAACTACTGTTTCCTCGCTTGGAGAAACAATGAGAGTAAGCTTAAGAATTGACTCCTGGAGACAGGCAGACAAACCTCTCGCGTTTGAAGGGCAGCGCAAAAGTCGGAAGTTTCTGGGAGTGTGGTGCAACGCACCGCAAATCATTGGGACGACAAGTCTTGGCTGTTGGTGCCGTACTCTAGAAGTTCAGGTGGTTGGCGCACCGCCTCAATCGGTCAAGGTGCTGAAACTCGCTGCATGTGTCGCGGCCTGGGATCTTCCCTGGAAGTGGTGATCAGGGGAAGAAGATCTCGAGAAGGCTGAGCTGAGCTGAGCTGGTGGTGTGTTCGTACGGTGTGCTAGCTAGTGCATCCGTACGGCGGTGGCGACGGTAAAACCGTCGTGGATCAGAGGAGCTTCTTCCAACATCATTGCCACATGCCAGTGTGCTTCCTCAGTTCGGACTACAGATATGTGGCTCTTCCACAATGTCGTCACCCAGAAGTTCATAATACGAGGATGAAGAGCTGGAGATGCCGATGAGCGCT